GGGTTTTGCTAACAGAGGATAGCCCAGTGCTTGCTACAGAGCTTTTCAGCGTCCCATGAGTCCAGTTGGTGACCAAAAAGAGGAGTCAAGTGCACCCAGCAGCCCCTTACCCCCCCCAACAGCCCTCATACCTCGCAGCTGTATCCCCCAGCAGCCCCACTCCCAGTCACCACACTCCGATCTTGCAGCCTGAACACCCCCACAGCTGCAACCTCTTCCCCCTCAGCCTCACACCTTCACATGGTCGCACACCACAGCACCTGCACATCACCTGCCCCCCAAAGCCATACGGCCCTTCCCCTGGCAGTTGTACCCCCTAGCAGCCTCAGTTCCCACAATTGCACCCCCTCAGGTCTCAATGCCCACAGTCAGCCCCACTGTAGCCCTACCTTCCTCCAGCTGCACTCCCTCCCACCATACGGACCCCTTACCCCCCACAGCTGTGCCCCTCCACCCCTGGCAGACCCCCCAGTCTTATCCCCCTTCTCTGGCAGTCACACCCCCAGTCACAACTCATCCCCAGCAGTTACACCCTCCCAGTTGCAGTCAATACCCCCCATACCCCCACCCCCCGCCGCCCCCCCCCCCCCCCGAGCTCTACCCCACAGTTTCAACTGATCTCTGGCAGTTGCACCCCTTTCCATTTCCCCTCCCAGCCACACGCCCCTCTCCTGCAGCCTCATTCTCCACAGTCACCCCCTTCACACTGTACACGCTCTCGTGCCCGCAGCTGTAATTTGCCTTGGTCTCTTGTAGTCTCCCTCCACCCCCATTCTGTCCAGTTACCCCAGATACAGAGTCAAGAGGCAGGAGACAGGGATGGGAGGGGGAGACAGAGAGAGGGGCCACTGTCCAGGCCTACCAGCCTTCACACACCCCATACCTCAGGTTCCCTAGCTGCAGAAAGAGGGGACGAGGTGAGGGCGTCTGTGACCCCTCTCTCTGGTTGACCAGGTTGAGGGTAGAGGCTGGCGGGAGAGTGAAGGACTGCGCAGGCGCAGCCCCTCAGCGCCCAGGCGGAACTGGGTAGGGAGGAGTCTCCTGGTGAAAACATGAGGACCAGAGTTCGAGTCCACAGTGCCCACGTCAAAACCTTGATGTCAAAACTGCTTCATAGCTGGGAGGAGACAAAGTCCTGAGGACGCAGGGCCATGGCCACCAAGCAACCTTCCCTCTTATATACAGATTATTTCCTGCATTTTGTCATTGTCAGGGACATCCAGAATGCTGAGTGCTCATTCTCCAAGGAGCCTTAGGAAGTCAACACACTTCTATGTAGCCCAGGCTGGCCTGAAAGACCTTGGCTCAAGTAATCCTCTTGCCTTAGCCTGCTGAACCATTTTGTAGGTAGGCTGTTCATCTTTTAAAAAAAAATATTTTCCATTTGAAATGAATTTGTCCTAAATTTTGATTTCATTTTGAAATTTATCTTACAATTTACGTATTTTCTTTCCTGTACTCGCATCTTTTCTACTTTATTACTCTATTTTCAGGCCGAATCTCATTATGTGGCCTAGGCTGGTCTGCATCTCAACATCCTCCTGCCTCCGCCTCTCCCAGGTGAGGTTTATCTTGCCTGTTGCTTCCGTTTCCATAGGTAACGCCTGAGAACCACCTGTGCAGGCCCACCCTGTACAGAACAAGTCTGGCCTCGGGGTGTGAAGAGGGCATTCCTGGCAGAGCTTGGGAGAAAAGGTACCTGGATGCCTGCTGGAGAAACTGGTGGTGGGGGGGCAGGGGGAGCACATTGATTTTGCAGATTTTAGGGAACCCCTTAAGAAATTTGGACATGATTTTTTTTTTTCTTTTTGGTTTGGTTTTGGAGACAGGGTTTCTCTGTGTAGCCCTTGCTTTCTTGGAACTCGATCTGTAGCCCAGGCTGGCCTCGAACTCAAGAGACCCACCTGCCTCTGCCTCCCGTGGGGTTAAGGCCAGCTCAGAAAACCATGTTTTATTTACACATTGGAATATTACTGAACTCCAAACACCACGATGGGAAAACAAAGTGACAGATGATCCCTGTTAACAAGTAAAACTTTTATTAAATAAACTTTTAGGTTTTTTGTTTTCTTTTCCAGACCAAGGAGAGGTGATTTGACTTTGAGAAGCTCGCTCCTTCGCACACGAACAAGAGGCACGGGGACTCGAACCCCACATTCCCTCTCCACCCTCGGCCTTCCCCCTCTGCTTGTCTCCGAAACTGAAGTTTGAAATTTCACGAAATTCATTGTAGCAGAAATTAAGCCCGTTGTACAAATCACATAGGGTCTCCGTGTGGAGTATAAAAATGGTATTTACAGCTCGTAAACATGAAGTAGACGGTGCGCACGCCAGCGCACGCCAGCACGCACTCAGGGGGCAACCCGCATGGGGCGCGGGGATGGGGGGGACACAGCGACACCCCGGACACACACGTTCGCATACTTCGTAACACAATCTTACCGTGTTACGTTCAGAACAAGGGATCATCAAACTGGAAACGCGAAACAAGGTGGGCAGAATCGGGGTGATTTTTTTTGTTCTCTCCCCTTTTGATTTAGGTCAGTCAACAAACATTTTGGTAGAAACGAAAAGGGATTTTTTTTTTTGCTTGTTTTTACATTTTTTTTAAACCTTAAAAAAACTTTGTCTCTTTTGTTTGCTTTTGGACGAGTCAGAAGGGATCCGGACCCCACCCCCACTCCCGCTTGGTGGGATGTCCAAATTAACGACTCTGTGCTTTGTGGTGTGTGTGGGCAGGCTGGGTAATATACAAGGGGTGGCTCCCCCACCAAAGTCTTCCCAAACCTCCAACTAGGAATCAAAAGCGGGTTATCATTGAGTCCCCGCCCCCTCGGCGCTCTTCTCTGTGGTCTTGTTGGCACTCACTCAGAAAAAGACCACCAACATAATAACATAATGATAGATGTGAGAGAGAGAGAGAGAGAGAGAGAGAGAGAGAGAGAGAGAGAGAGAGAGA